GTCGGGAGGATGCTTTTGAGGGATGAGGAGGAGAGGGGTCAGTTCGTTTTGTAAGAGATGGAAATGATTGAAGATAATTTAAGGAAATATATACAAGTAGATAGGAGAAAGCTGGAAGTACTGTGAAATGTGTTGGTCGGAAGCATAAAAGAGGAAGAAAGTGTAAAAACACACATAGCTGAAATGAAGACATTCTGCATAGCATTTACTATCTTTAGATGACTTACGTTTGTGCACTCATAAACTATCCCATTCTTGCGAGGAAATCATCTTACTATCGTCAGAGATCTTTACATAAAGAAGACACAGATGCATGCACATATACGCATCTTTTATTCCCATAAAATTTGGAAGTGAAGGGCAAAAACGTTAGTCGCTTACTATTTCCTCCAAACAGCTCAGATTTATGAAGTTCATATTGAAGAGAAGTTGGCAGTAATAGGTTTGATAATCATTATATCTTGTCTGAGCAAGTGGCATCATATCTGTTGTCTTAACAGTTTCCAATTTTCGTTTTTAATTGGTTATCTTCTCTATCTGCGGTTTTTATATGTTTTTTTTAATATATTTCAAATAATAATTGCTTGAAATAATAGTTAATTATAGAATATTCGTGTTTTGGCCTGCTTTATGGCATACAAGAGACAGATACTCTCATTTGACTGACAAGTTGCTGAACAAATTGAATTGAAAAATAAGATACCTGCTTCGGTTAGACTAATGTTGGTTGCAAGGTCCACATCTTTGAATTAGTGATTAGGAGGCTGTTCTGACTTTTTTTTCCAATTTTTCATTTGACTGCTTTTGTTTCCTTTAATTTCATTATCTAAACGACTTCTTTCTCCTTTTTTCTAAGGAAAATCCTTCGAAATTGATGTTATTTGAAGTTTGTAATGCTAGCAATAATAACTGCGATAATAATGACAAGTACATTGTTGTTATTATATTAATTCTTTTTTGCTTTAACGCGTTTCAGTACCATTCTGGGAAGTACTCGGTCATATTTTTCTTTTTTTTTCAGAACAGATGTAATGAGCAACCAGCCGATGCAACAATCCCAAGCCTCATCGGCCAGAGAACCCGACCCAGATGCTATCAAAATGTTTGTTGGTCAGGTGGGCTGTTGGCTTTCATTATTAATAACGGAATCTGAAATGGAATTTATGGATTACGTATTTTTATTGTAATGACAAATAGCTGAAGTATTATATATAAAGGATGGATGAGAATTGTTCATTTCATTTAATTAATTTTGTTCAGATTCCACGCTCATGGGGCGAAGCAGAATGCAGAGAGCTGTTTGAGCAGTTCGGTTCTGTTTGCCAGCTAAATGTTCTTCGTGATAAAGTAACACAAGCAAGTCGAGGTAAACTGTGTTTTTTTAGTGAAGGTTAAGTGCTATCTGATTACATTTTAACTGATTTGTTATTATATTTCATTTCAGGTTGCTGTTTTGTAACTTACTATAAGCGGGCTGATGCAATAGCAGCGCAAGCAGCACTTCACAACATTCGTGTCCTACCCCAAATGTATCACCCTGTTCAAATGAAGCCTGCCGACATTGAAAATAGAAATGGTGGTGTATTCTTTTTTTTGGATTGCCTTTTTATTTTCCTTTCTCATCTTTTCACTTATCTATTCCATCATACATTCTGCTAAGCTTATTAAGTCTTCTCGGTAACGTTATCGAAACAGTAGTGCATAATTAAAATTAGGATTAAAATTTGTAGCAAAAATAATTTATAGTAGTTTAGATGGAAGATTTAGTCATTTCACATTTTTATACTTTGATATGTGTTTCTATTTTTATATAATGACAAATATTATATGCAACAAATGAATCAAAAAAGCGTGGAAGCGTCTAGGATTAAGTATACTTCCGTTCTCTGAAACTAATAATCTTCATTGTATTATAGAAAGAAAATTATTTGTTGGTATGTTAAATAAGAAACTTACTGAAGATCATGTGCGTGAAATGTTTGCTCAATTCGGACACATCGAAGATTGCACTGTTTTGAAGGATTCAGAAGGAAAAAGTCGAGGTACATCCATGTTTTTCAGTGCTACATCACTGGTATATGATCACAATTAGAAAAAATAAGTAGGATAGACATTTTATATTCGTAGGAAACGAGAATAATGAAGTGATTTAAAGGTTTTAAAGGTAGTGCGTCTAAAAAATTTTAGCAACAAAAATTTTCAGCTGAAACTTATCCTAATTGATATGATATAGTTAGGAAAGTTATGATTAAAGCCTTTGACAATATATGTCTGATAAAGTGTTAAAACAATGGTTTTGATATTGGGTTTGAATTAATTTTAAATGGTCAGTACATTTCTAGTCCCAAATAATCATGTGATTTAAAGTGATTTTATATTAATAAAAGAAGCCTAAATGAGATAACTTGGCTAATTTGTTAATTTTTTTCTCCAAATGCAAAAATTATTAATAATACATTACTCTTAACCATTAAGTCTGATCTGAAAATTGTAAAACTAACAGTAGTTGGACGATATCAGAACGGAGTGGAATATATTTCGCTTTCCATGCAGTGACTTTGCTACAAATATTAGGGACTAGGTTTTATATTACAAATTAGCGAATATTTTGAAGAAAGCGGTTTGAGGAGAGCATTGCATCATCTTTAGGAGATATTCACATGGCTAGATAGGCCGTGCATGGCGATGTGCTCATGTCATCGTCACAAAATGGCTTTATTTACGTAACATGAGAGTCCTCGTGATTCTGGTGATAAGTGTCATGTTGAAAATTGCAACTATAAGTTTGTAGACCAACTGCATGAATGTCAGAAGTGTTCGTTGTCAATTTAGGTAATTACATTGTTCGTAGTGCTTCAACGTAATTATGTTTTGTGTGTCTACAAAGTAATTCATGTATATTGATCTCAGAATTTTGACAATCTTTTGTTGATGACTACTTCTAGCTTACCTAAAAGTTATTTAGGTAATAATGAATTCAGCATTTTTGGTTTCGGGATATGTTGCTTAATTTTTCGATTAGCCTTGAATTTTATATTTATGATTTTTTTCTAGATATTTAGTATGGAGTTATGTTTCTTCGAATTACGATTAAAAAGAACTATGGGGTGGATTTTATTTTTTTTTTCTTTTTTTCCTGTTCCTTTTTTATGTTGTCCTTGTCACAAAAGTTGTTTGTTGAGCGTAACTTTTTGTTCCAGGCTGTGCCTTTGTGACGTTTGCTCATCGTTCCTGTGCGCAACAAGCGATCAAACAAGTGCATCTATCTCAAACTATGGAGGTACTCTGTCACTCACCTGTACACTTTTTTTTCAAAGTAGACCCCGATGAAGCATAAGCTTATTGTATACTCTCGTATTTTAGAGCATCTATGTTTTACTTTTGTCAATAGCTTCAGTAAGATCTTTTTGCATTTTAGGGATTTATAGGTCTTAGCTTTGCGCTTGAATCGCATCATATGTGCTTACGTTTTGAAGTATTACATTTTATTCTTTGCACTGATGGCGTAATTATGGAGCATGAGACACACTGTTATAACTTTTCATCATGTTAGTGAATGCTTTCTAAATCCTGATGGGTCAAATCTGTTCTGTTAACATTTGATGTTGGGACAAATTCCATTCTTTGTTTTAGCATATCTATGTTATTATCCGTAAAAATTGTAAATTTCTATGTATTTTACAAGTTTTTATGAAGGAACTAAACGGCATGCTATTTCTGTGAAGTCCTTTGATTGTTAATTGTTATTGTTGTAGGGAGCGTAAAAACTATCCTTTGGTGTAAAAAAAAGAAAATTTTAAAAGCATGAATTTTGCAATTCATTGATGTGCAAAAATTCATTACAGCTGAATTTTTTCATATTGATGAATTTTATCAATCTACATATTTGAAGTCGTAATGTCTTCAGGGCTGCTCAAAACCGATTGTAGTGAAATTCGCGGATACCCAAAAAGAAAAGGATGCAAAAAAGAGTGGTGGAACGCCAGCGATAGCAGCACCTTCGTTGCAAAATACAGTCAATTTAGCTAGCACGTTACAACAAGTAAAATTTTTTATAGAACTCTTTTTTTAAGAAAATTATCCTAGCTATAGTTTATTTGAATGCGCCAAGCATACAAAATGGGCATCGCCGTGCCATCACTTTGATGTCCTGTATATGCAATGGTAAAATTTTGAAGAAAATTTTATCTTTGCAAATTTTAGTCAAATTACATATCAGAACAAATTGTTTTCTGTTATTTCTTATGAATATGTTTATTGCAGTTGCTGCAAACGACACAGCCTAATAGCAATACCACTCCTGCTCTGGGATCTCAGTTGACTGCACTCGCAGCTCTCCTTCAGACGGCATCACAGCCCAATGTTCTAAGTTTGCTTGGAAATGGTATGTTTTTCCTAATAATTGAGTTCTAGAAAGTTTGTTGACTGTTGGAGTTATCAGATAAAATGGTAGTAGCTCGAGTATCTCCGTCAATAGAAAATATGCAAAAAGATAGTAATATCGAATTAAATTTCAAACACTTTGGAATCATGGAAATCATCACTAGGGACCTGGATATGTTGCCGAAATAAGTAAACAGTGATTGCATTGTAGTATTATCTGGTTTGGGTCGTTTAACCGAGAATACAACAGCATCGAATCAAACATCTGTAAAATCATCACCCTTTCCTCTTGTCAGTCAGCAAACCCTGGCATCACTCTCCTCTTCACCGGGCCTCTCAAATGCAGATTCATCAGGTACATCATCGTGAAACAATGCATGGGCTCCCTCCTGCTTTTTTCCATTTTCTTTATAATAAAACATATTTAGCAGTATTTGCGACACTTCTAATTTTTCATAACTATTTTGCACTGCTAGCGAGGAGTCTCGATTTGAGTGCATGCACTGTTTGTTGTGATATGAGTTTTTTTGCCATATTTTTCAACTTCCGAAGTTATTTCCTTTCATTTTCCATAAAAATGCATTATTTTCATAATAAATATATATTTTCATAATATATAATAAAGTATCAGGTCTACCATTTACTTACACTGCTATCACTGATTTTTTTATTGGCTGCCGCTTCCTTCATGTTCTAGGAGGAATCAACTAATGAATTTTCATAGGACTGTTTAATTCGAATTTTTTTCGAAATTCTTTTTGCATCTTCTATACAATCTCAAAATTTCATCGCTCAGTAATGGTGGTAATTTAACTAAATGTCTTAAGTAAACCAAGAAGATTCGTATTAATATCAGCAGTGAATTTATTAAAAGTGGTTTGATGATTTGCCATCTCAAACTTCTTTCAATATTTTTTCCCACACTTCGTTTTGCAATGAAGTATGGGAAAAAACTAAAGTTTGTTTGTTATGATTCTAACTTTAATATTCTTTGTGATTGTAGAACTGCTCTTTTTCTTTTTTGCTTGTTATTTGTCAACATGTTTGAATGTCCATTTGTTATCCAATATTGTTACTGTATGCTTCTTGAATGCACCTGAAAATTGCCATGAAGATAGCAATGATAATGGAAACGATGTGGCAACTTATGCTTCTAGAATCATAAATTCAAAATCGAACTACTTACTACTAATGTTAACTATTTCAGCAGCACTTCAGCAACAGCAACATCAACAGTTAGCTGCGCTTCAGCAGCAGCAAAGATTGCTGGAACTTCTTACACATCAACAGCTTACTAACACGCCAATATCTACGCCTAGCGGTAAGCGTCACACTGTGAAGATGTGTCATTTCGAAGTTTCATCAGTGATTTTCTCTTTCTAAACTAATTGCTTCTGACATTTTAGGTTAGATTTTAGTCAAACATCTATCTAATGTATTTTTCTCAGGTTCATTTGGTAGTGACAGTAAAATAAATGGTACAACTAGTGGAAATAACCTTATTCAGCTGACGGGACAGAATCCATCAGGCAGCATCGATGCTCTGCAGCAAGCATATGCCGGATTACAACAGTTTGCTGGTGATCACTTTTGCTTTTATGAATATTTCCAGAAAATAAGTTGTATAAGCCATGCTGCTTTTAATCATTTTTATATTATTCAAAGTTACGGATCTCGGTCGACAACTTTCATATGTGCATTATTAATCAATAGGTTAACTGCTGTTTGGTAAATATGTGGTGTGAGTTATCCCTCCTCATTTTACATTTCCCTTAGTTTTGCAGGTTTGTATCCACAATTATCGACTAACAATTTACTCACAACTAGTAGTGCACCTAATACAGGAATAAATACCACAAGCGGTGGGCAATCAAAGGGACCAGATGGATGCAATCTGTTCATTTATCATCTCCCGCAAGATTTCAGTGATAACGACTTATACACCACATTCTCACCTTTTGGGTCAATTATTTCGGCAAAAGTTTTTATTGACAAGCAGACTAATCTCAGCAAATGTTTCGGTAAATCTCACTTTTATATTGTGTTATTCGATGGTAGAAGATCAACAGTTCATCGTCATAGGAATGAAAAAAAAAAAACAACGTTACGCCTAAACTAAGAGTGATGGAGCAAAATTAATACCTGATTCTGTGCAGTTCAATATTTTCAGGTTTTGTAAGCTACGACAATGTTGTTTCGGCTCAAAATGCTATTTCGGCACTAAATGGATTTCAGATAGGTTCAAAACGGCTAAAAGTACAGTTAAAGCGTGGAAAGGATAGTAAACCTTATTCGAGTGTGCCTGTTACTAGTAACAGTGGCAATACTAAACCGCTGTCAACTTAATTACTGGATTTTCCATGAAATCTGTCTATTACTGCATTTTTTAGATGTAAAAAAAGTTCAATTCCTTTCTTGAATAATGCAACTAAACAAACGTGATAACGATAATTGAATTATGTTTTTTTCATGGATTTCAAATTTAAAAGGAACAATTTGCAAATGTAGCTCTTTCTGGTGTTGCTGAAAAACAAAGACGAGGTAAAGGTAGTGAAATAAATTAAACAGTCTAATAAGATAGATCTTTTAAAGTAGATTTATATTGACTTTCGAAATGATTTATGTTCTTTAATGTATGTGCATCATTTATGTCATCCTAGTCGGCTATTCTTTCAACTTACTAACTGTATGTGTGGATGATATCTTTACTAGCTGAGAGTCTGTCACTGTTCTCATTCTACTCCTATTAGTTCTACTTAATTTGCCAACGAATATGTCAAATGCATTTCCTAACCTTCGAACTTGATGTTATCATTTCAAATCTTGCCGCACTATGAAGGTGTAATTTCTTTACTAATCTTGGTCTTGCCTATTCTCATCTGTTCTCACTTTTGAAGCTGTCTTGCCAAGACTTTCGTGTTTATTGTTGCTCTAAGTATTTCCTGTTTTTCTTTTTGTTTTCATTAGTATAGTTAAGCATTATTCAGAATTAATGTCTATCAAAAAAACGGAATTTAAAGGCTTTGGATTATCTACAAGCATCCTGCTTGTAGATCTTTTTGTTTTTCTTGAATCATCCCTCGCTTAATTAAAAATGTGATTCAAGGGAAGCTGCAATTTTTTGATATAATGTGTTCATGCTTGCCGATCGCGTGTTATTTTCAAAGTTGGTTTTCGGATCAGATCAGATTAGACCTTTTGGTTGTAAACTAATTTTTTTTTTTAAATATAGTTGATTGTGGATTTTGTGAAGTTGATTACTCTGACTATAGTACTGATGGTATTTGAGTTAACTGAATTTATATTTCATTTATATACGTTATATATCAAAAGTGAGAGCCCACAAAAACATCTTATGTGATTAACATTTTGACATATAATAATATAAAGAGGAATGATTATTGATCATTTTATTAAACGATTTGATTTATAAAATTACTAACATTACAAAAAGCATGAAAAATTTGTCTTAATGACGTTGTTCTATTCTAGAGAATTGATGAGATCTGAAATCGAATAGAAAATTGAACTAGCGCAAATGATATGTTGTATCCTTTGAAACAATGAAAATGTATATGATAATATTTCATTGAAAGGATTGTAATAATTGTTTCGAAGGGCAACCTAATAGTATTACAAAAAATTTCCATTGATTGCTTTATCTTTTATTATCAGTCATTCGATTTTCAAAAAATTTTTTTACTCCTGCGGCAGTGAGACAGTGGCTATACTTTCATATGTGATGCTTTCAGTGATTAATTCAGAATCCGGTTGCGCTTCACGACTATATGTAATACCGTAGAAACCGTAAATCGTAAGTCCTAGAAAGAGAAATTTTTTACAATTTGTACTTTGCTGAAAAAGTTAACTGTGAACTTTGTGAAATTTGAATGAGAGTAAGATGACTTATGCAATGGAAGTATGTATTAATAATGATGAAATGATTGTTATATCACTAATGCACGTAATACTTATTCACCTCAAAAGTATCTTTAAAAATCTACTATATCTTTGAAATAAGCATATCGATATTTAAGGATATCAGCATGTGAAAGTTACCGACAACTAGCCAAATGGCAAGTCGGATCCAAGTTACCGGTGCCAAATGGAACATCAGAAAAATATTGACAAGCACGCTTATCGCTGGTATCAGAGGGACTAATGGTACCTAAAGCATATTATGTACATATATGTGGTACCTAAAAAAATATATAATGTAGTATTAAGTAGCTAAACTTGAGTAAAACGAGTAAGCATAGTTTGGATCAATTTAATTATCTTTTAGTAATTTAGCAGTTAATCTGATAATCTCATTCCAGATATTAATTAATAACTACGGATTATTTTCAACATTAGCGGTCAATCAGATCAGCCGTTTAATTTTATGAATTTCATGAATAAATTCTGAAATAATTTAATGATTGAATTATGAGCGATAATAATATTTAAAGCAATAACCTTGAATGAAATTTGCTCATCATTTTGATGATGTGCACAGATTAAAATGAATGCAGTTGCAACGATCGTTCCAAAAGCAAATATAAGTATCCAACCAAATAGAGTGTGAGCAAATGTTGTAGCAAAAACAATGCTTATACCAGCATCAGCAAATGCCATCATGAAAACACACCTTAGTACAAGTTGTCCTGGTTTTAAAATGTTAAACCAACGATATCCCGGCATCCAGCATTTTATTCGACCTCCTAGAATTAAAAATAATTTTTGCTTTTTTTGTGTAAGCTCTTTAAAATATACTGAAATCAATTTTACACATGCTTTTGAAATACCATAAATTAACGGAAATTTTATGTGATAAAAAGTTGGAACAAAAAATGTGCATTCTTTCATTTTTGAAATTTGAAATTATTTTACGATAATGAAAGTTAGATTTCAAAATAGTTCCTGTAATATGCTAATAATTTCATACCATTTCCTTCAATAATATTATCATCATTGAGAGTTGGACGATATCGAAGAACGATAACGCAGGCGGAAACAATCGTATAAGCTAAAAGTGTACCGATTGATAGAAACTCCACCAAAGTTTCAATATCAAATAGAAATGCTATTACTGAAGTAATAGCACTAAAAACAATCACTGCTTTCAGTGGTACCTGCAGTAAATTGTTTAGTAAACTTTTGAGGAATTAAAAGTTGAAGATTTATTTTGAAAAATTAAAGAAAAAATTCATTTCAATAATGAAATAAAAAATTTCATTCTAACGCTATTCATATATTAAAATGTCATTTCATTTTATTTGCTTACATCATTAACTCTATCTAAACATTTTTTCTCAAATCTTCAACTTCTGAAATAAAATTTAAAGATTCTTTCAAACACTGTAATTTTACCACTATTTTATTTTACATTTTTAATTAGCACTATTAATGAATTTAGAGAAATGAAATATTAGAAATATATTTATAAACTGGTCAAACTTGCATTCATTTGAAAAAAAATGGCCGATATTTTCTTTAAAAGAGGATAAAAATGGATGGTTATTTCTTATGTTTACCTGAGTTTTATCATTAATTTGTCCAAAAGTTTTGAATATCAAACCATCATCAGCCATTGCATAAACACATCGCGGAAGAGCAAACATTGATCCAATCTAAAACATTTCAATTTACACAATAAATTAATTAGCAATTGAATAATTTTGAATAGAAGAGATTGTTGATTGATTTATTAATTCGATGATAATTTTCACTTGAATGAGAACAATAAATTCCAAAAAAAAAACAATAACTACCAGCTCTCTCAAACATTAATTAAACTGAAGAAAAAATGCTGAAACTATCTGAAATTAGATTACTTTTTTTGACAGATAATAATTAACACTACTTGTAAATTTGAAGATGAAATATTCGAAAATACATTTATAAACTAACCAAACTTGTAGTCATGCCTGACATAGCTCCAACTGAAACAATATATTTCGCCCAAGTTGCACCACGACTTGCAAATGCGTCCGAAAATGCTGCTGTAGGATTTATCTATAAAATATATTATTTTATGAAATGTAATTTTTTAATAATATTTCAGTATAATGAATTCTTTAATTACTTCAGTAAATATAAATCTAAAATATTTCAATTTATGTGATAAATTACGTAGTGATTCAATATTTACAAGATAAATTAATTAGCAATTAAATTATTTTGTTCAAAACTTATATAAATTTAAAAACGAAATTAGAAATGTATTAATTACTTCCCAAAATGGAATCATTAATGTTAATGATGAAGCCATAAGAATGTAAGCAATTGTTACGATAAACATCGAAATAAACGTTGCTAATGGTATTGTTCGAGCTGGATCTAAATTACACATCATTGCATTTCATACACATAATATTTTTGAAAAATTAATTTCGTCAATATAAAAAATTTTTTAATTAATAAAACATTAAGTGAGTAATATAAATGTAAACTTTACATGTCATCCTTACATTAAAAGCTTTCTATTCTCAATAATAATATCTCAATAATATAAATAGCTTTTCAATTGATTGTTTAATTTTACCAGAAGCTTCTTCACCAGCAGTTGCTAAACCATCAAAGCCAATATAAGCAAAAAAACAACTTGCAGCTCCAGCAAATGTACCACCAATACCGTACGGAAAGAATGATGATCGACCAGTGGTATCAATTTCATTAATAGACCAAAATGTAAAATCTGCGAATGTAAACCCATAACAAACCACAAATACTATCACCTAAAAAAAAATTTCTATTACAAATATTATTTAGTATTGATAGATGAATATTAAAATGGATCACGATATCATTTAATAATTTTCAATCATTGAAATTATTAACAAATTTACCAGCATATTGATTACTGTGAATAAAGAATTGAAATTAGTTGATGTTTTCGACCCGAGACCAGTAAATACTGCAACTGCTATCACTATCAAAAATGCTATCAGATCTGGAGAATCGGCAAAAAATGATTCCTGAAAAAGAAAAAGAAAAACGAAGAAGAAGCTGCTTGTGATACTTTGCTCTTAATTATAATAAGTATAAATTATTATGCTCAAATTTTTAAGTTTTAAATACAATGATTTAAACAAACATCAAAATGTCCAATAGTAACAATGGTTGAATTTTTGAGAGAGTTGCCAAATAGAGATGATAAATAGCCGGACCATGAACGAGCTACTGCTGAAAAGGGAAAAAATTTTGAATAAATTTCGAAATAATAAAAGTAATAAGAGGCAAAAAATATTTGGGAGAAAATTTTACCTGCAGCACCAAGCATATGCTCAAGAATGACATTCCATCCAACAATAAATGCCCATAGCTCACCAACACTAATATACACATATGTGTAAGCACTTCCAGCTTTTGGAAATCTAAAACTTTCAAAATAGCGCTCGTAAAATTCGCTACAAAGAAGCGCTTATCAAATTCTATATGACAATAGCGCTTATAAAATTCGATATAACAATAGCGCTTATGAAATTCATCGTATGACAGTGCTAATACTTTCAGCTCAAATAATCAGCTTGTGAAATCTTACATACACGACAAGCGATTTATGATAGATTTCAAGATATGCGTTAATCTATATGTTTTGAATGATCGATCAAACATCTTCAAGTATGAAATATTTGAAATTAATTTTCAATTGATACTTTTATTTCATTCTAACCTTGCGCCAAATTCCGCATAACATAATGCGGAGAGGAGAGATGCAAGTCCAGCAAGCGCAAACGATATCACAATTGAAGGTCCTGCGATATTACGAACCACAGAACCTAAATATATAAACATACAATTATCACATTCTCTTTTTCATATAATTATACTTTTTAGTAAAAAGAATCATTATACTTAAGTAATAGATATTTTGAAATTTAAAATTGAAAAAAATTTAAGAATAGAAATGTATTTTATTTCTGATTGACATCAATTAAATCAGAAAGTCTATTTGCGTTTGTTCAATCATGAACAACACATCGCTAATTAGAAGTGTCATTTGTTCATTAAGGAAACTACCTCAAATCCAAACTATTTTTCCATTTATTTCAAAACCTATTTGAGAAATTAATAAAGGATTTCAGAAATGAAAAGAGAATCAATCATATCAGTAGCAAAATCATAGAAGTATCAGTTGTGATGCGATGATTAATTAATTAGAGACAAAGAGAGGACTCGTTTGATAATTGAGATTCAATGAGCAATTATAAAATATTCAATCAACTTCTTGATTTTTTTTTGGATGTTATTGTAAGTATTATTAGCATATATATATTTTTTTTAAAATAAAATTTTATGCATACAAATTTTTTTTCAAACAATTATATCACCAATGATTCATTGACGGAATTCTTCTGCATCGATGCATTCAAATAAGGATGAAAAATAGTACGGCAGTTCTTTGCTTCATTCAAATTATCATAATTTCCTTTGGAATCAAATCACTTGAAATTTTCAAAACTTAACATTGGAGTTAAATCAATTCAATTTAGGCAGTTTTTCATTCTTTTGCTTGTTTTGTTTCGTATTTTGACATTTGGATTAAGAAAATTTGAACTTTTTATTCCCAATGTTACATCAAGACTATTTATTTGATTATATTTCGCTAGCCTACAATTAATTTACAGAAGCATACGGAGGCATCAGATAAGATGATCATGTCTTACGAAAACTAAAATCTAATTTAGTGCTCTGAAGAAACATTGTGATTGCATAGGAAAAATTAAAAGTATTTTTTTGTTGATAATTAAATATTTAGCTATCGGTAAATATTATATGTTTAACTATCGGTTGACAATATTTATTTATTAATTCTCGTGTTTCATTCATTACTCACATCTCAATAACTCCACAAACATTCGAATCTCATAGATGAAAGAGCAAAAAGGAAAAAAAAAGATTGAATTGGGAAAATAAAGGAATAGAAAGAAAGAAAGAGAGCTAAGAAAATTTATGAATATATCAATGATTGAAAGTAAAAATTCAATTGAAAATGCAGTAGCAATCGATATCTCTGTGATCGATTTCGAAGATTAAACTAAAAGTGATTGTGCATAAAAGATTAAGAATAATTTTTATTTGAATAACATCTCTTTTGCTATTTCTGAATTTTTTTTTTGATTTATATACAAACCCATAAATTCTTTAATTATTTGTAATTAATAATAATGTTAAAATGTGCTATTTGTTCTATGATGTTCTAATCTGTGTCAAAAATGTGCAATTTTTATTTTGCTTAAAATATAAAAGTCAGAATTAAATTAAAGAACTTTTTTTTGAAAATATATAGCAATCATGTTATAATTTTTAATAAATTTTTGCAAAAAATCTCTGTTATTTTTGACACTTCTTAAAAATTCCATTCTTTTTTTCCTAACTATAAATAAAATAGCAAATTTTGATACAAAATAGCAATGAGGAATATACCCACCGGTCAAAACATATATACCGGCTCCGATCATATGACCAATACCGAGAAGGGTAATATCGGTTATTGTTAAGCATCGTTTCAATCGTGTTTCCATCACATCCCTTGTTTTTTTTAAACGGAAGAAACTTTCTCGAAATGAAACCATTGTTTTGTATAATGTAATTCTGTTATTCTTAACACTGATAAGAAGTAGAAATTGCAAAAAACATATCAGCGAATATACTGAAACAGAATAAAAAATTTTGTATTTATTTGAAATTGTAGCATCAAAGTACGTGTACATTTAACGTACACATACACATATCGTGAATACGAAATCCTGTACACTTGTATAATTAATTAGTATAATTATAGAGATTTATGTATTTGGACTATGAAAATGATTGAATCATGACGGATGACATTTGCAACATTTTGCTATCATTTTCTTTTCAATGTTTCATTAAAAAGTTTTATTTGTACAAATTAATTTCCTGGAAAAATCATTAAAATACTTTCGAATATTTCATTTTAATTAACCTGGTTACAGAATTTTTGATCTTTTACATGCAAGTATCATTGCAATTAATTTTAAATTCCTAGAATATATCTCATTATGCTTCAGTACATGCACATTTTGTTATTACCGTACCGCGATACGGTATATCATGGTACGGTAATGGTAGGTTCCTGTGAAAGGTATTGATAGCCCTATTTGATAAACATGCTAGTGTGATGAAATAAGGAAAATAAATAAGATGTTAGACTGATAGAAATTATCAAAATGCATTTATGCCATAAATATATTATTTCACAATCAATAAAAAAAAAGAAGTCATTCAATTAAACTGAAAGAGCATAATGTTTTTCATAGTTATTATTACAGGTAATTGCTATTAAAATTATCATTCCTAAATCATTCATTCTTCCATTAAAAGATAAATTATGTTCTCCTCTTCCTATATTTTCTCGCTATTTTAGCCAAATTTTTAAACATGAATTTCCATTTAAGATAGCGCAACTAATTATCGATCACCATTTTCTTTAATGAAATTCAAGTCAATTTTAGACATTAGTTATCGTTATGCATTCATCATATATTTCAATCATTACACACCAAATATTTAAAATAGAAATAGTTAATACTTAAATTTATCCAAAACTTATCTAAATTAATATTCTATATTTTCTTTTAGGTTTCTTTTAGGTCAAATTGGTTGCAGAAAAATTCATAATCGAATATTATTCTTGGCTCGTATCTAAATATTATTACACATAATACACACACACACACACACACACACACACACACACACACACACACACACACACACACACACAGAAAATGAGCCACAATTGTTAAAGAAAGGCTTTTAATAAGAAAGTAGAAAGAGGAGTGATCGATAAGAGCCTATGGCCCAGTTAGTCAAATGATTAATCATTTAATGACAAATGATAATCATGCTTACTTCTAAAACAAAAAATACTCGATAAGAGCATAGTATATTTGTAAATGCATAGAAATTTAATTTATGAAAAGTGGTGCATGGATAGTATTGGATGACTTTATTATCGGTGAATGTGATAATATTGAATCGATCGTGAGTCATCACTATCCATTAGAAGAAAGCTACTCAGTTGATGAGAAGGGAAGTGAGAGTGAGAGACAGAAAGTTAAGGTAGCATGTAGCAAGCAAAGTAATCAATCCAAGCTTTTTAAAAGCTTTAAAAGGGATAAATAAAAAGGTCCTGAAAATGTTTGTTGCATTGAGAATGCATATTTCTGCATGGTTGACATTTCATAGCAATCACTGTGGTATTTCTCTTAATTCCGCAACATATATTTTCTTCTTCGTTTTTTTTACATTCTATCAAATAATTGAAATCGATAGATATGATATAATTTTACTATCATATCAAAAAATAATTCTCATTTTTTTAAAAAAAAATAATCGTTTATAAATTTCATTTCATTCGCATACGACATCAATTGATGTAAAAGCAATAATGTGATATAAAATGCCAAAACAAATGACATTTGAAATGATAATTTAACATGGATTTGATACAGTTGAATTTATCCCATATTTTAACATTCTCAACTTATATTACTTTTAGCCTAAAAGTAATAAGATCTAAAGTAATAGAGATAGAGTAAAGTGGCCTAAAACAAAGAGTAACAATAATTACGCGCTAAGTTTGTTTTCCATTGATCATTGCAATTTTCTCGGGAATCAGACATTAAAAACCTAAGATTTGCAAAATGCTGCTCCATGCATTTGGAATTAAAGCAAACGAAAGGATGATTGCAAGAAAAAAATATAAAATGATGAACAAAAATTTCAATTCAGTTTTTGCCAATTGAATTTCGATCAATTTATACAACTGTTTTCTTTATCATCTCAGGAATTTATTTCCAATTCTCTTTCAACTTTTAACATTTCATCTATCATTCTCTTCACTTCTCTTCCATCTTCAATGCGATAATGATTTCGAATCCTTTATTTGAAAAGAAAAATTGAATTTCAATTGTTTCACATCATATTTGCTTTAGAAATTGGCACTAAAAAGTGTCACAAATCAATGCAATTTATGTGTGAAACCTCCATTAAATAACAATGAAATGAATCGATCCTGTAAATCATAAATTATTTAAAAAATTTTATCATCCCACAATTTTTTGTCATTTTTGAGGGATATAATTAGATGATAAAAATGGTTGCATTTTAATTGTTCCATTATAATTAATGCTTGCTAAGTATTTCAAATTATAACTTAATTTATCTTACAATGAAAGATTTACAGATAAGATCATCTACAAGATTGTTTTTTTTTACATCAGTTTGAGCATTGAAATTCAAGTTGTATTTTGTTAAATTTTATTTATTGGTGTAAATCGTAACCAACAATTTTCATTTGTCTCATACCAAACAAATATTCACTCTTCACCATTTCCAAATATATCATTTTCCTTTATATCATTGATATAAGAAAAAATTGTTTCGAAACCAACAAAAAATTGAAATCATACTTAATAATACTGAAGAGAGTTGGAAAAAAAAACAATAAAAGTATAAAACGGTAAGCAAAATTATATTGAGCAATAAATACACAAAATGAATCAAAAACAAATACAAAAATAAATCAATAAACTAAAAATAAATATAGGTCAACGATCAAAATTCATTAGAAAAGAAAAAAAAATAAACGAATGACAAAAGAGATGAGAATTAAAATGCCACTTTTACTTTTGGATAATAATGACTGAAAGAGAATGGAAACAAATTTGCTATATTAATCAATTACATTAAATAGTTTCTTTACTTTCATTAATAATTTTAACAATAGTTCATCATTCTTACATTTTCCTTTATTGAATAAGAAGACGAACAAACATTTCAATTAAATCTAAAAAAATCAGTCGTAGGTGCAAGTTTTTTTAGTTGTTATCATTATTGAAAAACATAAGTTTCTTTCTTCCGAAATTTTACCACAAATTCCGTATCAATTCCAACTTTAACAATGTAATCTTGAATTTTAGAAATTTGTAACTTGGCTAACTTCTTCATCTCTATCATTCATAACATTATCATTTAAATGATGAAATACATTTTCTGCCAAATTTTGTACTTTATAGCACTCACTGCTAGCATATTGCATAATATGTTCATAGGCTTCCGATCCCTAAAATAGACAGAAAAACAATACTTGACAAAATTTTTAATTGATATCAAGTGTTTTTTTTTCTTTTGGAAAACAGAAATATATGATGTGCTCAAAATTTAACAGTTTATTACAATAATACTTACTAAAAAAATTTAATAGTTTATTGCGATAATATAATATTTACTTATGGATGCCAATTGGTAATATACTGAAATAATTGAAATTTAAAAATTACAATTTAATTTTGAAAACAAACTTTAATATATTTCGTTGCCTGCTTTAGTTGTCCTTCAATTTTTTCCTCTGAACATGCCTCCAATATGGAATTTATAAGTGCAAGAGCACATGCTATACAATTGTTATTGTCGTTTGTAAGAATATTGCATAATTTTTCAAGATACATTTGATCAGCTATTTTTATAGCATTCTTTCGATCAAGATTGCTATGCATGTATGTCAATGCTTTGCAAGCTTTAATTTTGTATGAATCGGTACCCTGAAAAATTTTAATTCAATTTAATACTCTTCGAATTCATTTCAATTTATCTCTATAGATTTCAAACATATCATCTCTTAAAATATAACATTTAAAAAAGAGAAATGAATTAACAAAACTAACAAAAATTCCTTCATTTAAGATTGAATTTTAAGCATTATTTTTAGATAATAAAATAAAAAAAATAAGCAAATAAATTTCTACAAAAAATATCATTCCATTGGAAAGATCATTTCCAAATGAATAACAAATGAATAGCTCTGATAAGTTGTTAAATAAGCTACGGAAATTTTCTTTTATTTAACACAATGTTCTATCAATGTGATTTATCTGATCAATGAAGTACATTTTTTAATTATTCTTTTACATTTAAATAACTATTAATCATGAATTTATCGACTTTAAAATATTTACAGTTGCAAATAATAATATTTACCTCATCCATAAGTCCAATAAGTAATAATACAAGGCCTGATTCTATCACGGATTCCACATATTTCTTATTGGATAGAATTCTTGCTAACATTGAACAAGCATCGTAACCAAAATCAACAGTGGAATTTCGTGCAAGAATAGATATAATCATTCCAATAAATCCTTCTTTAATAAGTTTCTGAAATATTTGTTTCATATAAGCTAATTTAATCTTTTAATTTTTTCTTCTGTCTTATTTCATGAGAAGGAAATTAAATGATATTTTGAAAAATACAAAAGATTTTTTGACATTTTATAAATATTTTGCTTGGAACACATAATTTATCAATTCAATGTGTTTGAGTAAAAAAAAGATTTTGAAAAATTACCAAAAAAAAAAATTAATTGATAGTTAGGAATGATCAAAATTTCCAAAATAATGCAAAAAAAACTGAAAAATTTTATTTAAATAAAAATTAAAAAAGAAAAATGAATAAGAATTACATCAGTATTGCAGTTTTGTTGTCTTGTAAATTCTGATGCAATATTAAATGCTGCTTTAATTTCAGCACGCCATGGACTGTTGAGAAATTTCAAAATGTTTTCTATATAAGCATCATCAAAAATAACGGCAAATTCTCTGTTACTTACTACTTCAAGTATAGCATTCAAAGCGGCTAAGCGAATTTCATAATCCTAAACAATCATATTTATTATTTCAACAAAACGATGCAACAATTCTGTCAATTAATGTTAATTGTAATAATTAAGCGCTATTAAAAATGCAATTTTGGAGAAGAAAAAAGTGCTTTTAAAAAAATAGTCAAAATATGAGGTAAAAAAAAAAGCAATCAATTATTAGTTTAATAGAAAAAAAAATGCTGAATTTTATAATAGTGACAATGAGTAGAACAATTAAATTGCAAAAATACTTTAAATATAATAAGCTCGGCAATTTTCAAGTTAACCATTTCCAATCAACGCTTGATTTTTCTAATGAGCAGCATTTCAATTAACTTCCATAGAATTTATCCTACCAGTAGAATATAAATCAGAGAGCAAAAAAAAAAGAAGCAAATAACCTCATGTCGTAAAAGGTAGCGAGCACCGTTTGTGACGTGTTTGAGGATGAATTCTGGCACTGGCTTAAGGTAACATAAATTACGTAGAAAAATTGCAATAACAAATGCAATTTCTTTGGAGATTATTTGATAATTTATTGATAGCAAACCGCTTATATGCAATGTACCAAATGACACAAGAATATCACGCATTTCAATACTTTTAATAGCAATTGATGAGCATAATTCAATAAACTGAAAATTTAAACAATAAAATTCTTTTTAAGCAATTTATTTTATAGCAAAATTTCTCAATGAATTTATTATTTTAAGTCATTCTAAGATTAATTTAAAAAAAAAAGAAAGAAAAAATGATCGGAAAATTATGTAAAATTGAAAATCTCAAAATAATTTTTAGAAATTTTAAAAATCATCGAAACATTTAAGCATTTTAAATAATCGATTACTGCAAACCTCTTGAACGATAAAATCCGTATCACTTTTTAGTGCGATCGCAAGACTTTGCAATAGTGCACATTGCATCAAATTTTTCAATTGTGTTTCATTCATATATTTGACAATAACTGATAGTCCATGTATCGAATAGTATTGAATCGTGGTATTCTGTAATGGAATTCTTTTTTAAATAATTTATTTCATACAATATGTAATATAGCACATTTGAAAAAACTGCTTAGTTAAAATATTTGTAAAATATATGCAAAATCGTAGAGTTTGTTTATTTCATTACTTTTTTTTTAAAGAAATAAACATTTTAACTTTTTAATTTTAGAAAAAAATGCTACAACGAACTGACCGTAAATTGCATTCCCTGAATTAAAATTACTTCTATTCCCTGCTGAATCATTTCAGTAATTCTTTCCGATATATCATAATTATCGACAAGTTCATTGATAACTTGTAAAACACGTTTAAAATTTTCTACTGTTGGTTTTTCACCAAAAATATCCATCATTGCTTTAATATCTGGTGCATGAGAATCTGAAAGCAATGATATTTTAAGAAGAACACTCGTTTTTTTTTTTTCAAACTAATACTTCAAATTAATTAGGTCGGAATATTAGTGAAAAAAGTTGTAAACAATATCTAAACCTTCCGCATCCTCATTTGCATAAATCGTTAATTGTTACCAATTTTTGCAAACAGAGAGGAAGTTAGTGAACGAGTATTACTACATTCCAATAAAAATAATTTCATTTTACATTATTTTTTTCATTCTGCTAGATTATTAAATCATTAAAAAAACCTTTAATTTGTAAAATTTAATTCGCTTTTTTAAAATAAAATTACAATATATAATATTACATCAGATAATTAGTTTTTGGGAGAAAATTTTTGATAAGAATTAATTCAGAGAAAAAACTTACGTGTATGTTTATTTTCTGATTTCAAGCATTTCTTACAATTTACAGCTTTAGCTGAATATCGTGACCTCTCGACATCGGAAGATTTCTCATCGGAATCACTGCTACCAGCTAATACAACTTTCTTCTCTGATTCCTTGGGCCGCTTATGCTTTTGCTTACTTTTTTGACTTTTACATCTCCCTTTCTTATTCATTTCTTTCGTTCCGGAATTAATTACGGATAGGATAATTGATTACAAGCAAATAGGGTCACAAAACGGTATCAAGAAAATTAATCAATTAATCGATGGAAAAAAGCACAAACTCGAAACTCAAACAATACCAACGTGTTTGACTAATGTAATTGAAATGTTAATTTTATAATCCCAAAAATTTTTTTCAATTGCCGGAACAGCGAGAGGCCTCCGACAGTGTAAAGCATTTAATTACATCAAGCTGTACTTCCCACATTCATCAAGAACTCTCGGTCTTTCATTTCTAATGCAAGTCGTGGATAACGACGTAACATAATATGGAAAAAGAGCCAAAACAAAAAAAAGAAAAAACAAAGTCACAACAGCAGAGAACAACTGATCGATGAGAAGTTCTTGAGGTCAAGTTCAAGCATATGAATTCAGAGCCAATCGCTCGTTAGTGCACTTAAAGCACACGCGCTAAGTACGACCGTACAGGAGCGAATTTTTCCTCGCTTTGTACAATTTTTTTCTTTCAATATGGAATACGTGACAATGTTATTAAATCATATTGATGCGACGTGCAATTATCTGACTGATCACACGTATTATGTTAATTCATGGAAGTCACGTAAATTATGCATATTACAAAAGCTTCCACATAATTACATTAACATATTTTTGCATACATATTATTATGAATTCAATACGTTGTTTCACGTTAAAATATGCTGAAAAAGTATAGTTAAAAAAAAAATATTATCTTTACACCAAACATCATTATCATCATTCTTTTAGTCTCTCAATTAAAATTTAGTGATAATTACCAAATTTCAATAATGATTAAATTTAATTCAATACAAGCTGTTGATAAAAACTTGAAAGGTTAACTTTTAAATATTCCTTTTAGCACTGTCGTTGGCCAAATAATATAGTGCATTTCCGAAATAAGCAGTACAGATTTGTTTGGTTCTTTAATTTCTCAATCTTTTAATTAAGATATGGTGATCGACTCTTCAATATTTGTTCTGTCTAATGTTTAAAGTCTCTATTATTTCAAACATTTAAAATCCAGAATATAAAAAAAATCATTTAGTATGGTATTGTCGGAGAAAAATGTAACTCCGGTCCAAAATTTCCAAGAAAATTTGAGCAGATTTTTGTTATATAGCGGTTTATTTTATTTTTAAATTCACTTATTTCATAACTCTATCAAATTGCATCTGAACAGGAAAATGAACAGAATATTATGAGTGTTTTATTCCGATCAATTCGGCCTATTCCGGAGAGAAAATCAGTGCTTAGCGGGAATGATAAGCAACACTGATCAGTTATCTCTCTATCACGGAATTCATCTCTTTATAATATTAAAAAATATTAAACAGATTCTATTCATTTTAAGTTTATGCTTAAAATTTTGTTTCTATCAAAAAAATTTCTTGTTGACAATTTATTTTATTTCATTTCGTATTTCAATAAATTCTTTAGAGCAAAGAAATAAGCATTTTATCTGAATAGAAAGCAAAAGTTTCTACCCATTGACTGATTTATCATTCAATGATCGCCACCAAAAATTAAATGACCTTTTTTAGTGTTTGTTTCTCCCTCTGTAAATATTAGACATTCAAAAATTTATTGATATAACATCACAGAGCATATTGTAATTCATATTCAAATATTGTCTCATCTTTTTTGACCAGTGCTAAAATCGATCTTTTACATAATCGTTTCATCAAAATATCAATCACAATTATATTAGCAAAAGCAATTTTGTTCAAAAGAAGTAAAGTTTGAAACATAAATTTCATTAAACGTAACGTAAGTGTCATTAAACGTGACATAAATCTCAAACTACTTAGCATACAATGAGAATTAGACTCTTCGAGATGAAATTTTTAATACAGATATTCTTTACTTCATTTACTTCAGTTTTATATTCTTTTCATTCTTTCTATCTTTACTTCTTTCTGTTCATTCCCTCGTGAAAATTTGAAGCCTTGTCTTATTTTAATTGTTAAAATGATGCCAAAATTGTTATTTTTAATTTGAAGTGAGATTTAAATAATTAAAATATTGTCATTTCAAAGATTAAAACAATGAAAAACAATTGTTTTGTCAATGGAGATTAAAGTTTCAATGAAAATGAAAACAGTGGAGAGCATGTAAAATTCCGGCAAATTTACTTGGACAATTACAAATCATCAAATATTTGCATATCATCATTTTTTAATTCTTTGTACCACATTTTCGAAATTACAAAATTGCTTAACTGAAAAATGAAAATTATTCATTTGTGTTTGATTGGATAACGATCATACAGTTGATAAGCAGTGGGATATATGACAATGAAGAAATATGAACAGGTTATTAATTCTTGCCAGAATATTAATTTATCATCTGGTACTGCCATAACGCCACCACTATGGTCAGGTAAATGAATGAATAAGGCTTTTTCTTTGTCAGATTGGAAGTTAAAATGTTCCTAATGAAATAAGCAATAATAAATGAAGGAGTGCAATATTAGTAAAATTTTAAATATTTCAAATTATCATATCAATTTCATAGATCCATCATTCTGATAAATACAAAACCAAAATTAGTAAAATTTCAAATATTTCAAATTATCTCATACATTTCATATGTCTATCATTTGAGCTCCACAAATAACTCCGATGAAAATTCCGTTTGCTAGCATTATTACATTTAGCATCATTTTCACTCGTTTCAATGCATATATCTTTATTTGAAAAATTCATGTTTAACAAAAAAAAAAAAAACAAATCATTATAGAACAGTTTAGAATTATACACAATCTATGTATGTATGTTTTACTTATAAATGTTTAAATGACAAATATTTAAATGTCACTTTTCTCATTTACTGCTATCATCTCTGATCTGTAACAAATTTAACAATCTTTTCATTGAATGTAACTATTTTACAATCACCGGAACAATTTTCTTGCTTAATTTTGCACAGGTAAAATGTTTCAATTTATTTGCTTCTTTCATTTCAGAATCATCATTATTGTTTGGTGGGCGTAAAGGAAGATATTTACCGTTGACAATAAACAATCTTAGCGAAATAAATGAGATTCCATATCGAATAGTAATGCTTGGTGATTATTCCAGTGGTATTAGCTTACTAAGAAGTGAATTGATGCAATTAAATTCATTCAAAGAGATTCCATTTGTTGTAAGTATTTTCATTAAAATTTAACCAACAATCAAATAATTCCTCCTCAACTTTTACAGTAATTTTTGTAAAAATGAAAAAAAAAAGAAGGAAAAAGTAATTCAGTCTAGGATAAGTAATTTTTAGGTTGTTTCTTTTTTTTATTAATTTTAAATTCAAAAAGATGATTGAACAGATCAATGACTGGAAAACTTTCAGCAATTAAAATTGAGATATAAATAAAATTTTGTGCATTGAATTGATTATGCTTAAAAAAAAAGAAATTGCCTTATTTTTTTTTAACATTTATTATTTAATAATGAATTGAAATAATTGTGTAGGATGCAGAATGTTGCACGACAATAACGCAGGATGGACGTGAGATGCAAATTTGGCTTTTTGTTGATTTGCATAATTTTGAATTGTTTTGCGAACGGTGTACCGAAAGCATTGATTGTTGCATAGCATGCTATTCGATTACAATTTCGCAAACCTATCGGCATGTCGTCGAAAAAGTTGAAATCATCAATAATTCCAACAATTTCATTTAAAAAAATTCTTTTATTTCTAAAGCATTTCAACTTCATGACAGCTTTGAATTGATACATTAAACAATCACTGTCATTATTTTTATGATTTTTTGCTCTTGTCTTAATTTTGTTCTAATTTCATTTCAATTAATCTCATTAATATGTTGCATACAATAAACAATTTAAATAGCTGAAGATTTATTAAAAAATTGCAAATTTTGCTTTGACTTTTTTTACAGTGGATTCCCGAATTTGTGAATAAATTCCCCAAGAAACCGATCATTTTATGTGCATTGAACGATCGTGAAATGTGTACGTGTGGTAGTGGCGGTATAGATGAAACGATGTTTCAACATGATTTCAATTTCTGTAACAGTCACCTTACACACATTGATGTTTCAATCTTCGATAAAGTAAGTCTGATCAGCATGATGTTATCCTACCGTAATTTAACATCTGCATTCCCATTCCGAAACATTTAATTTCGGCGCTATGAAATTTTGAAAATTGAAAAAATTTATTTCAGCGCAGTATGAAATCACTGTACAATTGCATAAAAAATACTTCAAGCAATTCGAAATTTAATCAGAAGAGGGAAAATAAAATAAAGGCTTGCATTTTAATGTGATCCATATCTTATTTGATTGAAATTAAAATTACATTCAAATTACGAAAGTTTATTAATAAAGCTTAATTGAATATTGTTTTGCCTTGTGTGAAATTAACTCATTTATGTATTCAAAATATTTCAATATAAAAATAAAAAAGGTTATCCAAACTTTATTAAACTTTTTTCATCATTGTAACGGCTAGCGCTCATATGAAATAATATTTCAATTTAGCAAATTGCAATGAAAATGAACAGATGAAGCATGCATGCATCTATAAAGCTTTCTAGAACTTCGTTATGATTCATTTCAATATCGAATGCTGCATGAAAATAGAATCAATAAAATCAATAAAACATAGAATCAATAAAATGTCTTCGATTGACAAACAGCTTCAACAACAGGTAAAATTCACACTGTAGCATATAATGTGGGACGTAGTGATTGCAAGTCGTTGCTGCGTTAGATATGTGATCGCATAGCACGGTTGTACCGAGAAAGAGAGGTTGAGATGATCCGTTGTAGGTTAGGGGTCATGATTACGTTTATCAGTAAGATGAAGCTGTCTTATAGTCATCCCAGCAAAATTTCAGCCTTCTACTCTTCAGATTTTACTTCCAAAAACAGAACTTCCTGAAATTAGGCTTCTCGTTACAGTCCAAGAATGGAAATGCTAGAAGCAATAATGTTTTTAGTATTAGACTTTTTTCCTCTTCTCAACCTTTGAAAGTTTTGAAAGACAGCAGATTTATTATGATAAGAAAAGATTAGCAAATGTTCTGTTGAGAGCTCTACAGTAAGTGTTGAGCAGGGAATTTCCGAGAAATCTACTTTCTCTGATTTTTCGGAGAGGAATTGATTTATTTTAGGATAAAGGAGATTTGTGATATATAGGGGATTAGCATTGCTCCTCTGCCTCATAAATTTCGTTCTGAGGACGGGATTGAATGATGAGACATTTGTTTCAGTTTTGTATGCATAATAAATGAAAGAATGCAACTTATGATGTCTACGTACTTTCACATGAAATTTAAATTAATATATTCGGTGGTACATCTAAAAACTATGAAAACTACACTGATAGTTTGATTTCTTAGATTTCATTTTCAGACATTGAAAGAATATTAATTTTGTTCACATAATAAAGTTCACAACTTTTCATAAACTTGCCTAACGAATTCTTTAAGTATAAAATTTATTTCTTCATCCTTTACTACTGTAACAGGAAAAATAGTATGTTGAAGTGCTTTGATTCAGGTCAAGGACAGCTGCTGTTGTGCATTTGAAGCACAGCAAGATGGCCTTTCCTCCTCTCTCTTGCTCTCTCAAGGACAACAGTGAGGGAGTGTTGATGATTTCAATAATTGGCTGAAGTTTAATTTATTAATAAAGCGTAAACCGTGGATGTACGTTCAGTCATAAGAGTTTTGTTCGAAAACATTTGAAATGTTCAAATCATTGATTTCATATTTATTTCATTGGGTAATCGTTATTCTTTTAGAATTGAAGTAATGCGGGAAGAAACTACTACGACCTCCACTAAGGTTTGCATTACATAGTTAGAATTTCTATTAATTTTACGCCGATTACTCAACAGTTGAAGTTGATTCAGAAAAATAAAAAATATGAAATTAAAGAAATGTTGTCATTGTGATAGGATGGTAGGATATGTTTATTTTAATTCTCTTATTCTAACATAGAGAAATTCGCATTTTCTGTCCACTGATATTATTTTATTTACATATGACATCGTCATATGTAAATAAAACATTTCAGCTAAATTTGAAATTTCATTTTATCTGCTCTTTTTCTTCATTTTATTATCACTCATCTTCAGGCATTTATAATGCTTTTATAATTCTGGTGCAGGAGGTATTGAATTGAACTACTTCATATGAAATGAGAAAACGTACCTCAAAACTGAGTTTTTATTGATTGATTTTTTAGGTGTATTATTATTTGGACGATAATACTCCATACTTATCTGTAGTACCCGTTGCAGACGATGTTATTACACTTGGTGATTTTAAAAAAGTTTTCAACAAAAGAGGATACAAGTATTTTTGCAAACAGTTGGATGAAGCAGTTGGATGGTTAATATCTCGAATATAATTTTTGAAATACGACATAGAACGTTTTGTACTGGGAGAGAGTTTTGAATTGCTTAGGATATGCTTAACTTAAGAATGTCTGAAATTTTCATTTGTATTTTTGTTTATCCTTATTTTTTGATTATTTAGCGAAGTCAAAGTGGAAATTCGAGATGATTCGACAAAATTGGTTAAATCAGCAAATGGGCTCATCGAATTGGTTCTTCTTTCTTCATTCGAGAATATTTATTGTTCAGGGACGTTACCGAAGGTATCTAACAAAGCAAACAGAGGACAACTCGCTGGTGTTAAGTTGAAGGTGATTAACTATAACGTTTGATTAATAATTTATCGGTTTGATTAATAATTTATTTTTATCATAATTTAAAATTTTCAAAAAGATGAAAGATATGAAATTAATATTAAGCTGATTCTCTTATATCTTTTTTAATTTTAAGGATTTCAATTTGAGAAAACGAAGATCCTTGCATGATCTGGCTTGTGAAAATCGCGACTTATTATGTATACACAGGAACAAAAGTGATGAGAACAGCATAACAGCGAGCAGCTTGTCCACAGTGATTAGTAGTAAGTAGTTTTCAATATATGTATATTGGTTGACTTTTTCTGATTTTATAAAAGCGTGGAATTTATTAGAAATGACTAACATTAGAGAAACCATAAAAATAAAACGACAAGGAAATGCTGGATTTTTATGCCAAATCTTGGTTTTGCTAACGCAGGTTATTTAAGGTTAATTAAGGTTGCATTTTTTAGCTCAGTTTCATCTTTGCTATTGAAAGAGAAAAATCGTCAGTCACTATCTTGGAACTTATGTAATAGTTTAGTGGAATATAAAAAGGATCATCTCAATCTTTTTCACTAATATAAAATGAGCTGGGTTGCGACAATGAATCCCTGATTCTCTTCTCTCTTTTTTTGAATACCGATTAAGAGAAATGTTTGAGGATCGTAAATTATAATTTCCAAATTCGTCTGCTTATTGGTCTCATAATCTTCGAGATCCTATTTCTATTTGTTTGTTGGGTATTTTCAGGAAACAGAAAAGGCATTGAAAATGAGTATTAATTTCAGAAAGAGCTGGTGAAGGTTTAGCAGAATTATATGCATCGAATTCAGAAGATCCATATCATCTGGAAGATATAAATTCAAGGTAGTTTCTAAATTCATTTCAAAATAATATCAAATAGTTCAATTATTGTTGTTTCATTTTCTTTTTTCTTGCAGATATTTCAAACATGCTGATGCTTGTGCGGTTTTTTCTACTTCACAACTTGTTAGTCCCAATGGGTTACCTCCATGTCCTCGTCGTCAAAGACGTCCCCGTAAAGAAAGATATCGAAAACCATATGTACCGAGCACAATTTCCTCAGTAACTGAAAGCAGGTATGCACATGGAATTGATTTGGGAAGTTGAAATGAAAAACCCCCAATCAGTTTCAAAGTCATAATCTCTTTTATCATTTCCAACACTTTTACTATTTTGGAAGCATGATTAATCTGTGTTATACAACATTGTTATTCTGCAGCATGACTTCTCTTTCACTTCCTCGAATCAATGTTGTAACGCTACCTATGAAAAATGGAGTCTTCTTGGGAATTTCAGTACTAAGTCATGATGGTGGAATTTTTGTTAGCGATATTCACAGTGGTTGGTATTTTGTACCAAATTTGTTTTGTCAACTCACTAAGCTAATTTCGTAATGTTGATGAAAAAACTCATCTTCCTACAGAAAATCTCATTTACTGCTATCACAGGTGGTCTAGTTGATTTGGACGGTCGAATTGAAGTTGGTGATCAGATTGTGCAAGTGAATCGAAATTCATTCGAAAATTTAAACGACGTTGAAGCAGTTGATCTACTACGTAAAGCAGCAGCTAGTCGAAGGTGAGTGTTTAAAGTTTTTTCCCGAATTTTTTTATTGGATGTGATTGTTCAGGGATATCATATTGATGATCGTTTGTTTATCCTTATCATTTTAGGCCAGTCACACTTTATGTTGCTAAAAGAACATGTAGCAGTTCAAATAAGCGAGCAGATATACTCTCAGGGATTGCTTCAGAAACGATGCCTATCGATATATCCCTTTGGGTGGAAAGCACTAAGTAAATCTGTTTTTTTTTCCTTCCTTAATAAACAAAGCAATTTTAATACTTATTACTTACTGATTTTTTCATTTTTTATTTTTTGAAGTGTAAAGTTAGAGTAAAAATGAAACTTTACTACTGCTTTTTGAATTGAATGGATGTTCAGACAGAATATTGCGAGGCCAGCAAAGGTTATTGAGGAGATAGTTTCACTCAATGACGCTGACGCTACGCTTGTTGCTGAGGAAAATGAGACAGATTTAGAAGGTGCTTATGCAGAGCGACGAAATGGACTTCATCCAAGCAATCAAAATTGTGCGAAATTAAAGCAGCTAAATTCACACGATTTAAATATTTCGTTGAATATCGAAGATATTGCAAGACGTCGAGAAAATGAAGAGAACGGTTTGTAAATATTTTATCACATTGTGTTTGAAAATAAACGAAGCCACATTAAAACTATAGGCGACTTTTTTCTTGAAAAGGCTGTCAACTTAACTAACAAGTGAATCAAGAGGAAAGGTTAAGACTGACTTCATGAGCTCTTTCCGGCAAGCTATTACGAAGTTGATGTACAGTCAAGGGATGATGGGTGTCGTATTACATTTAAATGAACAACACTGATCCATTTTTCGGTTTTTGTTTTACAGTGTGTAAGTTACAGAACAACAGTTGGATAATTTGAATGTTGATATGGATCCGGTGATTATTCTGAAGTATATGGCCTTACCTAATTCAGGATTACAAATAAAGAATCGAAAATGGTTAAAAATTCCTGTGCCGATGTCTTTCATTGGTATGATTCTCCTGTTGAATATCTATTGAAGATAACATATATTATTCCAACTAACACGTACTTTTAAATTAATTTAAGGCTGTGACCTTGTTGATTGGTTAATGGAACATGTACACGGTATCACGGATCGTAAAGCAGCGCGCATCTATGCATCAAAATTGTTGGCAGAGGGACATATTAGACATGTTGTTAATAAACTTACATTTACGGAAAAATGCTATTATATTTTTGAAGGTGCTGTTATTTCTTTTAAAAAATTCCAGTAATTTTGTTTCAGGAAAAAAGTTTTTATCCGATTTATTTTCGATACTTCTGTAGCACTAAATTTTGCTTCATATATGATTAAGTACAGATATACATTATTTAGCTAGATCAATAATTGACAGTTGTCAGACTTTTCCCAATCATATCATTTGCCATTTCTTGTTTGATGTCTTTCTTTTTTAGATTCCATACTTTCTGTTCGTAACAAAAATAAATCGGATTCTTCACTGGGTAAAGCCGGTGCTGAAGTTACCACCGAGGTAACATATGTTGGTTCACCAGCACCAGCACATCTGTCTCGTACTAATGCACGAAATACATTAAGCGGAAAAGCCGTGCTTGATCAATCGTGGCCTCACTCAGCGGTAATCTCAGGTGGACAGCGAAAAAGTTATTGCGAAAGCTCAACGGTTGGCCATATAAATAACATAATGCCTTGATCAAGTTTTCGTTCTTCATGAAGAAGAAGTGTGTTGGTGCCTTGGTTTTATATCAATTTCCGTGTTCATAATTTTTGTAAATTCGTGTATTCGTGTTGCAGAATGACTATGCATCCGTCATGGGTCCAGATATGATTGATTCTACACTCCTTACAGAGGCACCAACGCTAAAGCTATCACATCGTACACTTCCTGATCGTTTGGATATGGAACAGCGGATTGATGGATGTCAGGTAGTTCTATAGTCAAACATAATTTTACCAAATTGCAAAAAGAAATTGTGAGGTGCAGAACTCCATATTTTACTGATTTATAGTATATATTTATTAATTTTTGCGCATCGACAGTTGAAATGCCATGAAGATTTAATTAAGAAATTTTTTTGATCCATATCTTGAGCGAAATCTTCTTCTGATTGATGAAATAAAAGATGTTCAGGTTGCTCAACCACCAAATACACCGAACTCATTACTGCAAGAGCAAAGGAATGCTGATAGTGAAACTGAATTTGAAATGATTGAAGATAACAAACTTTTGGTCATGCAGTAGGAAACAAAGGGACTAATATGAAATTTGTAGCTAAAAGGAAATAAAATTTTGAACGAATGTTTTCAATGTGTCTCTTAAATTTTTTATTGTAGATATCTGAAATTATGATAGTTTTTTAAACATTTTTGTTTGATTTTCCTCAACCTCAATCCATGACATGTGCGTTATGTTATTAGAGTGAAGCGATTGATAACATTTTCTCAGTACATATATTATGCGTGCGTGCATATAATATTTGCAACCTGCATTCTTGTCGTATATAAAGTTCTGTTTTGCAAAAGCCTAGTTTTACATCAATTATTATATTCAAATCTAAATCTGTTTTGGAATATAAATCATCAGGTTTGTCTGCCAGTTAAAACACAGTCGTTTTGTCGTCCTTCGGTGAACACGAAATAATATGTGATGAGAAATATCAGGAATCCCAATGGATAGAATAAGCGACAAAAATGGTCTAAATACCTAGAAATAAAAACTGATTTGAAGGCTGAATTAAATTACGAAATGGAATATAAATTTATAAAAGAAGAGAAATTTGTTTTTCGATTGACTGGGAGGTGATTAAAGTGATTAATTGCGCACTAACCTTCCACGTTTATGGCACCGTTCGGCTCTGGCTAACATTAGTTCGCGTGATTGCTCCGTTAATTCACTTTTTTTCTTCGCTGCTGACTTTCTCTAAATGTATAAAACATTGAAACTTATTGTAATTGCAAATGAGTGATTCGGATAATTTTCCTATAGCTGACCATTTGTTTGGCTCGTTTATCCAACGCAATAACAATAAGCGTTTGAAGAAGTGTAATGAAAACAAAAGCTGTAATAAAACCAAACCATAAATCAATTGCCTGAAAAGAAAATCGTTACTTGATAAAGAGAATTTTTAAAATTGCATATGAAATTCAATTGCTAGCAAATGATAAAATGTAACCTTCATATAGGAAACACTTGGAAGATGTTCGCGAGCACCAGCTGATTCGGTTGATAACGTTAAAAGTACAGTAATTGCAACACCAATACGTCCTTCCATGAACTCTTCTGGGAGCCAAACACCAACCTAGCATATTTAAAATAGATTATGAATTTTTTTTTCAAAATATTTAATCAAATCACAACAACAGCAAAACAAAATAACAAACAACAAAACAACGACAAACAACAAAACAACGATAAACAACAAAACAACAACAAACAACAAAACAACAAACAACGAAACAACAACAAACGACAAAACAACAACAAACGACAAAACAACAACAAACNACAAAACAACAACAAACAACAAAACAACAACAAACAACAAAACAACAACAAACAACAAAACGACAAAAAACAACAAAACAACAAAACAAACAACAAACAACAAAACAACAAACAAAGAAACAAAACAAACAACAAAACAACAACAAATAACAACAACCAGTACCCATGAAAACATTAGCGCCAGTGAAGTTGGTATATAGGTTTGAGCAATATGAAATCCAACATCACGTTTCAATCGAAAAATTGCTTTCAAACAAGAGAAATTACCTGATGATAATATGATAAATTATCATAGATTAAAAAATAAAGATGTCAAATTGAGAAGAAAATTATAGGAATAAAATGTTGTTACTAAAAAACAGGCAGTAATTTTTGTGAAGTGAGAAAAAAAGAGTTTAGTCAATCCTTAAAAAAAAAA